TAGCTGTGGGTCTGGGAGGTCACTTGGATGGCAGTTGTGGGTCTGAGTGGTTACTCAGGGGGGCAGTTGTGGGGCTGTTGTATGTTTGGGAGATGACTGGAGGGTAGTTTTGGGTCTTGGGGGTCACTTGGAGGGCAGTTGTGGGTCTGGGATTTCATTTGGGGGACACTTGGGGAACTGTTGTGCGCCTGGGGGTCACTAGGGGTCACTTGGGAGCAGTTTTGGGTCTAGGATGTTACTTGAGGGTTACCTGGGGGCAGTTGTAGGTCAGGGGAGACACATGTGGGGCTGCTGTGAGGCTGGCGTGATAAGGGGAAGTCATTTGTGGGCAGTTGTGGGTCTGGGGAGATAAGGGGGGTCAGTTGGGGGGCAGTTGTAGGTAAGGGGAGTCACTTGTGGGGCAGTTGGGGGTCTGGGAGGAAACTTTGGGGTCACTTGGCAGACAGCTGTGGGTCTGAGTGGTCTCTTTGAGGTCATTTGGGGGGGATTTGTGGGTCTGGGGGATCACTTGGGAGTAACTGAGGGGGCAGTCTTTGGTGTGGGAGGTCACTTGGGGGGCAGCTGTGGGTCCAGGGAGTCACTGTGGAGCAGTTGTGGATCATAGGGATGCCTTTGGGGTCACTTGGAGGGCAGTTGTGGGTCTGAATGATCACCTGGCGGGAGTTGTGGGTCTGGGGGTTCACTTCTGGATCACTTAGAGAGCAGTTGTGGGTCTGAGGAGTCACTCTGGGGTCACTTGGGGGCACTTGTGGGTCTGCAGGGTCACTTGGAGGGCAGTTGTAGGTCTGGGATATCATTTGGGGGGCAGTTGTAGGTCTCAGGGTTCACTTTGGGGTCACTGGGGGGCTGTGGTTGGTCTGGGTCAGTCACTTTGGGAACAGTTGTGGGTCTGGGGGTCACTGGAGTGCAGTTGTGGGTCTGGGGGATCACCTGGGGGGACGTTTTGGGTCTAGGAATTTACTTGTGAGTCACTTGAGGGGCAGTTGTGGGTGTTGGGGATCACTTGGGGAGCACATGGTGCAGTTGTGGGTCTGGGAATTCATGTGGGGGTCACCTGAGGAACAGTTGTAGGTGAGAGAGATCTCTTGTGGGGAAGTTGTGGGTCTGGGGAGTCACTTGGGGATCACTTGGGAAGCAGCTTTGTGACTGTGGAATCACTGGGGGGGCATTTGGGGGGCAGTTATGGGTACGGGGAGGGCCTAGGTGGGCAGTTGTAGGGCTGAGGGGATCATGTGGGGGCAGTTATTACTCTGGGGGTCACTGGGTGAACACTTGGGGGGCAGAGGTAGGTCTGTGGGGTCTCTTGGGGGGCAGTTGTGTGTCTGGGGGTTCACACGGGGGCAGTTGTGGTTCTGGGAGATCACTTGGAGGGCAGTTGTGGGTCTGAGTGGTCACTTGGGGGGCAGTTGTGGGGCTGTTGTAGGTCTGGGGGCTGACTGGAGGGAAGTTGTGGGTCTTGGGGGTCACTTGGAGGGCAGTTGTGGGTCTGGGATTTCATTTGGGGGACACTTGGGGAACTGTTGTGCGCCTGGGGGTCACTAGGGGTCACTTGGGAGCAGTTTTGGGTCTAGGATGTTACTTGAGGGTCACCTCGGGGGCAGTTGTGGGTATGGGGGCTCACTTGGGGGTCACTTGGGAGGCAGTTGTAGGTCATGGGACTCACTTGTGGGGCAGTTGGGGGTCTGAGGGGTCACTTCCGGGTCACTTGGCAGACAGTTGTGGGTCTGAGTGGTCTCTTTGAGGTCATTTCGGGGGTATTTGTCAGTCTGAGGAACCACTTGGGAGTAACTTAGGGGGCAGTCTTTGGTGTGGGAGGTCACTTGGGGGGCAGCTGTGGTTCTGGGAAGTCACTGTGGAGCAGTTGTGGGTCATAGGGTTGCCTTTGGGGTCACTTGGAGGGCAGTTGTGGGTTTGAGTGTTCACCTGGTGGCAGTTGTGGGTCTGGGGCTTCACTTCTGGGTCACTTAGGGGGCAGTTGTGGGTCTGAGGAGTCACCTTGGGGTCACTTGGGGGCACTTGTGGGTCCGGAGGGTCACTTGGAGGGCAGTTGTAGGTCTGGGGTATCATCTGGGGGGCAGTTGTAGGTCTCGGGGTTCACTTTGGGGTCACTGGGGGGCTGTGGTTGGTCTGGGTCAGTCACTTTGGGAGGAGTTGTGGATCTGGGGGTCACTGGAGTGCAGTTGTGGGTCTGGGGAGTCACTTTGGGGGCACTTGGGGGCACTTGTGGGTCTGGAGGGTCACTTGGAGGGCGGTTGTAGGTCCGGGTTATCATTTGGGGGGGAGTTGTAGGTCTCAGGATTCACTTTGGGGTCACTGGGGGGCTGTGGTTGGTCTGGGTCAGTCACTTTGGGAGCAGTTGTGGGTCTGAGTGGTCACCTGGCGGCAGCTGTGGGCCTGGGGTTTCACTTCTGGGTCACTTAGGGGCAGTTGTGGGTCTGAGGAGTCACTTTGGGGTCACTTGGGGGCACTTGTGGGTCTGGAGGGTCACTTGGAGGGCGGTTGTAGGTCTGGGGTATCATTTGGGGGGCAGTTGTAGGTCTCAGGGTTCAGTTGGACACTTGGGGAACTGTTGTGTGCCTGGGTGTCACTAGGTGTCACTTTGGAGGAGTTTTTGGTCTAGGATGTTACTTGAGGGTCACCTGGGGGGCAGTTGTGGGTATGGGGGCTCACTTTGGGGTCACTTGGGGGCACTTGTGGGTCTGCAGGGTCACTTGGAGGGCAGTTGTAGGTCTGGGGTATCATTTGGGGGCAGTTGTAGGTCTCAGGGTTCACTCTGGGGTCACTGGGGGGCTGTGGTTGGTCTGGGTCAGTCACTTTGGGAGCAGTTGTGGGTCTGGGGGTCACTGGAGTGCAGTTGTGGGTCTGGGGGATCACCTGGGGGGACGTTTTGGGTCTAGGAATTTACTTGTGAGTCACTTGAGGGGCAGTTGTGGGTGTTGGGGATCACTTCGGGGGCACATGGTGCAGTTGTGAGTCTGGGAATTCATTTGGGGGTCACTTGAGGAACTACTGTGGGTCTGGGGCTCACTGGGGTGTCACTTGGGGGGCAGTTGTAGGTCAGGGAGATCACTTGTGGGGAAGTTGTGGGACTGGGGAGTCACTTGGGGGTCATTTGGGAGGCAGCTTTGGGTCTGGGGAATCACTGGGGGGGTCATTTGGGAGGCAGCTTTGGGTCTGGGGAATCACTGGGGGGGTCATTTAGGAGGCAGTTGTGGATCCACGGAGCCACTAGGGGGGCAGTTGTAGGGCTGAGGGGATCATGTGGGGGCAGTTATGGCTCTGGGGGTCACTGGGTGAACACTTGGGGGGCAGAGGTAGGTCTGTGGGCTCTCTTGGGGGGCAGTTGTGGGTCTGTGGGGTCAGTTGGGGGCCGTTGTGTGTCTGGGAGGTCACTCGGGGGGCAGTTGTGGTTCTGGGAGGTCACTTGGGGGGCTGTGGTGGGTCTGGGAGGTCACCTGGGGCGCTGTTGTGCGTCTGAGTTGTTACTCGGGGGGCAGTTGTGGGGCTGTTGTAGGTCTGGGGGCTGACTGGAGGGCAGTTGTGGGTCTTGGGGGTCACTTGGAGGGCAGTTGTGGGTCTGGGATTTCATTTGGGTGACACTTGGGGAACGTTTGTGCGCCTGGGCGTCACTAGGGGGTCGCCTGGGAGCAGTTTTGGGTCTAGGATGTTACTTGAGGGTGACCTGGGGGGCAGCTGTGGGTATGGGGAGTGCCCGCAGAGCGGGAGGCTCGCACCGGAGCAGCCTCAGTGCTTGTTGATGCGGTTGGAATACCTGCAGTGCCTGTCTTCGGAGCTGCAGCAGCCACAGCGCCTGTCCTTGGCATTGGAGTAGCCCATGTGCCTGCTGCCATGGTTGCAGTAGGCACAGTTCTCAGGGCCTGGGGTGGAGAAGCCTCACTGCTTGTCGATGGGGCTGCAGGAGCAGCAGTGTGTGTCACTGGTGTTGGAGAGGCTGCAGTGGTTGTGGCTTGCACTGGAGTAGCCGCAGTGTTTGTGGCTGGGGTTGACGTAGCCACTGCATACATAGCAGGCCTTAGAGTAGCGCCATTGCTCCTTCCCAGAGATAGAGGAGCTGCAGAGCTTAAAACTGGTGGTGGAGTAACTGCAGTCCTTGTGCCTGGGGCTGGATTAACTGCAGGGCATGTTGAATTGGGTCGCACCAGCCACAGTGCCTGTCCTTGGCCGATGTGTCTGTCGCTGTACTTGCAGTACCTGCAGTGCTTGTGGCTTGGGTTTGAGAAGCCTCACTGCTTGTCACTGAGTTTGGAGTAGCCACACTGCTTTTTTTTGCCCCGGTTGGAATAGCAGCAGTGCATGTTGCTGGAGTTGTAGCTGTAGTGGCAGTCCTTGCCATTGGAGTAGCCACGGTGCCTGTTGCCATTGTTGGTGTCACCGCAGTGGTTGTGGCTGGTGTTGGAGTAGCTGCAGTGCTCGTGGCTGGTGTTGGAGTAGCCGCATTGTCTGCTGCTTTGCTGTTAGGTCTTGTCTCTCCTCACTGCAGAGCATGAGAGACTGAATCAGCCTTGCTCAGGGTAAGTGCTAATCAGAAACCACTATACAATCGGTGTGTTACCAGCGTTATCCTCAGACTAAAGCCCGACCTCACCACTGCCCCAGCTACAAGGAGGAGAATTAACTCTTATGAGGCGTCCCTCTGAGACCTATTGCTCTCCAAGGAACCCAGAATCCAATCCCCACAAGCCCCCCAATAACTGCAAAAGTCCCACAAAACACCCAATCCCCCAAACACCCCCCGAAAGTCCCCCCGAAACACCCAACCTCACCAAACTCCCAAAACCCCCAAACACCCAAAACCACCAGCTCTCCGCAAAACCGACAAAGTCCCCCCCAAAAAACAACCCCCAAAACCTCAAAGTCTCCAAAAAATCCCCACAGGCCCCCAGTATCCATCCCAACCTCCCAAGAGCCCAAATCCCCACCAAAATACCCAACCTGCCAAACCCCCAAACCCCACGCTCCCCCCAAGAGGCACCCCCAGCTTACTTGCCCAGCTGCTGGCTCAGGCTGTGAGGGTGGAGGGCGGCTGTCTCCTGGGGCAGTGGATGTTTGCAGCCAAGGGTGGTTGAACACATCGTCCAGGGATGGCCTGTCGCGAGCTCTCATGGACAAGCACCACCTGATGAGGTGCTGGCATTCTGGGGAGAATCCGGGAATGCCGCTCAGTTGCAGGAGGCTCCTGCCTACCTTGTGCCACCGTCCGCAGCGCCCAGGCCTGGGTGCGCTCAGAGCTGCACCCAGACCTCCTGCTCCATGACTCGGTTTGGAGGAGAGCAGGATGGCAGGACACGGGCCACCTCCTCCAGCTGACCAAGGGAGATCAGCTGCCACCCCTAAACCCCGACCTTCCCCTGCTGCTGCGAAGCCAGGTACCTACCGACAGAGATCCGGCGCTGGAAGAAGAGCTGCCCGCTGACGATGTCCTCGCAGCACCGGAAGGGGAGGACCCCGCACACCATCTCATACAGCAGCACGCCCAGGGACCAGATCGCCGCCGGACGGCCGTGGTAGCAGTGCCAGCGGAACCACTCCGGCGGGTAGTACAAAGGTGTTCCTACAACAGGATACGGGCGCACCTCATTAGGCAGATGCCGCCTGCTCCTGGATTCTCGCCCGCGGATCCGCAGGGATGCAGGGGCCGCACCGGTGGCGCCACGGACGTGGGGACGCACACTCGGTGTGACCCGCCACCTCGTCATCAGCACGTGACTCTTGTTCACAAACCGCCCGGTACCGGAAGCACCCTGGGCTGTGGGCTCACCGCTAAATTTGGTGTAGACCGTGTCCCTGAGGAGGGTGCTGCAACCAAAGTCAGCAAGCTTGACCTCTCTGGTGGCCAAGTTGATGATGATGTTCTTGGGCTTGATATCCCTGTGCAGGACACCGCGGCTGTGGCAGTGCCGCGCAGCCACCAGCACCTGGAGGAAAATGCCCCGCGCCGGATCCTTGGGCAGGAACCTCCGTTTTTTGATGAAGTCGGAGAGGTCCTGCGATGGCTCCGGACGCTCCAGAACCAGCACAAAGGAGTGGGGCAGCTCAAACCAACTGAGGAGCTGGATGATGGCACTGCAGCCGGAGCGCACCTTCCTCAACATGGCTATCTCCATGGGAATGCGAGTGCCGCTGGGCTGCAGGGGGACCACGGCACCGTCAGCAGGGCCGATGCTGGCCCGGGGCTCCTGTGCCTCCCTGCCTGGGATGCTCTGATGCCCTCCTGCAGGTGCCCCCCGCAATCCCCAGGGATGCTCTGGTGCACCCCTACCCGGCCCGTGTCCCCTGGTGACTCCACACCCACTCCCCTCTCGCTGTCCCACTTTCCCCCCCCACCGGCTCACCCCCACCCGCTCTGCCCCGCACTGTCCCGGTGGCCCCGCGCACTCACCCGCTCGCCCCACGAGGAGATGCGCTCCCGAGCCACTTGTTTGATCGCCACCTGCGAGCCAAGGGCAGCGCTGGGCTGAGCTGAGCTGAGCCGAGCCCCGCCGCCTCCCCGGCCCGCCGCCGGCCCCGCCCTTACCGGGCTGTTGTCACACAGGCGGAGCCCCGAGTACACGGACGCGAAGCCGCCTCTCCCCAGCAGCGGTCCCACGCGGTAAAGCCGCTCGAAGCTCTCCTTGTCGTGCCCCGTGCGACAGACGCGGCCGCTGTCGCTGCGCGCGGGGTCCCCGCCGGCCCCCACCGGGCGCTCCGGGCCGAGCGGAGCCGCATCATTCCCGGCCTTTCCCGGCCGAGGCTCCGCGGCGCGCCGCTCCCCGCCGGTCCCGGAGCGCAGATAGGCCGACGGGTCAACGCGGGTCAGGAGGAGCACGGGCACCTTGCCCGACCGCGCTGCCGGTGACGGCACCCCCGCAGCAGCACCGCGCTCCGGGGTCCCGGGGGTCGCGGCTGCCGGGAGGCCGCGGCGCCCGGAGGGAGAGGCCGCGGAGCCGCCGGTCCGCGCCGCGCCGGGCTCCTGCGTGTGGCGGCGGCCCCAGGCGGGGCGGGGCCTGGGGGCGGGCCGGGGAGCGCCAGGGGCCGGCGCTGCCTCGGCAGACCCAGACCCAGCGGCGGCTCGGCCGGCGCCGGCGCTGCCAGTACCGGGAGAGGGGAGCGGTGCCGCGAGCCCCTGCGGGGGGACGCTGGGGGGACGGGGGAGGCACCATCGCGGGGAGCGGCGGAGGGCGGGCTCCGGGCCGCCGAGAGCTGCCGCCGCCGCCTCACCTGGTGCTGCTGCCGCTGCTCCTGCCCAAGCCGCTGCCGCTCAGAAGCCGCTGCCGAAGCCGCTGCTGCTCAAAAGCCGCTCAGAAGCCGCTCAGAAGCCGCTGCTGCCGTTGCCGCCGCCGCCTGGCTCTCAACGGCTCTGTCCACGCGCGCCCCGGGCTGGGCAGGGCCCGCTCTGTCTCGCGGCCGCGGGAGCCCGGGGAAGGGCGGAGCGGGCCCTGCCCAGCCCCGCGGCCGGGCTCGTGCGCCCCCCGCCCGGCAGCAGCATCCCCGCGGCCGAGCCTTTGGAAACTGAACCTGAGCCTCGGGACCCTGCGAACGAGGCTTTAGAACTGAAACCGGAGGCTTTGGGAAGTCACAAGGAGGCTGCGATTTACTGCGTATTTTGTCCCCTTTTTCCTTTCCGCAGAGGTGGATTGAGAGGAGACTGCGATGAACACATCGATGCGTTGGCTTTCTCCAGTCATAGGTGTGCTCACGTGCGGGATATAACCGCACGGGTTTACAGTAACAAACAAAGCACGCTAAAGATACCAGAGCAGACAGGAAGTTAAAAAGGTTCAGATCTCTTGATCTAAACGGAGTCACACAGCAAGAGAGCTTGTAAAGGCGGAGGAGCCGTGGCTGCCCCGTCCCTGGCAGCGTTGGAGGCCGGGTTGGACACAGGGCTCGGAGCAAGCTGCTCCTTCCAGTGGAAGGTGTCCCTGCCCGTGGCAGGGCCTGGAGCTGGAGGAGCTTTAAGGTCCCTTCACCCCAGCCCATCCGGTGCCTCTGGGATCCCCTGAGGGGCGGCTCCTCCATGAGGAAAGGCCCCGCCCCCCCTTCGCCGTCCCGTGCGCATGTGCCGGAGCCCGGACTACAGCTCCCAGCGTGCCCCGCGCGGGGGAGCCGTGCGCTGATTGGCTTTGCGCGGCAATGGCGGCGGCAGAGCGGGAGGAGGTGAGGGTGAGCGGGCGCGGCGCGGGTCTGGGGGGCGCTGCGGAGCCCGGGGAGCGGGGCTGGGGGTCTGCGGCCCCCCGAGGCTCTGGGCAGTGGGGCCGGGGGAATGCGGGGGGCGGGTGCGAGCGCTGGGCAGTGGGGCTGCGAGATGGCTGGGAGTGTGGGGTGCTGCGAAGCCGGGGCATGGGGGGCTGGGAGCTGTGGGGGTCCCGCAGCTTTCCGGCCCTGGGGATGGAGCGGGGCTGTTGTGGGGGGCCCTGGGGGCTGTTTCCCCCCGGGGGGGAGGTGCTGCTGGGGCAGCCGATCCCCGGCACCCGGGGGGGGTCAATTCACTGGCTCTTTTCACCCCAAATCAGATCTCCTTCAGGTACTTCCCCACCCTCCCGCAATACCCACCAAATGCCCCCAGCTCTTTGAGCAAAAGCGATCCCACGAGCGGGTTTCCTTTTGCCTGAATGGGCAATAACCCAGACTGGTTGCCCCAGCGCATCCTTTATGTGCACCCCAGGAACTTCATCCCCCTCTATGGTATGTAAAATCTGTAATTGGGCTGGGTCAGCCTTGTTGGCAGATCCTCTGGTGTTGACCAAGCGGGTGGCCTTTGCTAAGTGTATCCCAGTGTTTGAAAGTCCCACCACCCGTTGCTCTCAGTGTGGTTTTCAGCAGCCCATTGTACCATTTCCATTTCAAGTCTCAGTGTGTTGAGAAGGGCCAGAACCTTTATTTGCCCTGCTGCTGATTTGCCCTGGTCATCAAGATGAAGGCTTTAGATGTGGGAGCAGTTGATCTAGGGCTTGTTCATGTAATTTTATGCCATCTAAAAACTAAACGGAGTTTCTCTCATTAAAGCTCTACAAATGCCCTTTAAATCCTAGTGCTTTTAATGTATGAGATAGCTGTGGATGGCCCGGTACACAGGCTACGCGTACAGCACCCTGCAGTACAAAATATGTATGACCTTCCTGGTCAGTGCGTGCGGCTGAAAATGAGTGTGGTGTCACAGGAGGTTATTTGAGGATGAACTGAAAGTGTTCCAGGACTTGTTTCTGGGGAAGTCTCTCGTTCCCAGGTTGTCCTGGTGCTCTGTGGACAGGCTCCTGGCCATGGGTTGTCTGTGCAGGTGTCCGGGAGGCTCCGTGCTTCGTCACGGAGTCGCGTCCTGCCCTGAGGTGACTCTTAGTTACTGCCGTAGCTCAAGCACAGGCCCTCGCTAACGGCTGCAGTCGCTGTGAGTGCTGGTTTTTGTAAGCACGTTTTTTTGCAGGGGATTGTCTCTTCTGTGAAACGTTTGCATGGGATTTCTGTAGTTAAAAAAATACACAACTGCTTTGTTTTCCCCCTCTGCTTGCCTGTGGAGAGTAGGAAGGAGAAGGAGAATGCCTGGCAGAGATGGGTAAAGAAGAGAAAGGGGAAGAAACAAGCCCAGAGAAGCAGTGAGGAAGATGCCAGTGAAGAGCAGGGAGAAGAGAAGCAGCAGCCTCCAGCAGGTCAGGCGAGAAAGTGCCCCTCCCAGAGCAGCGTACCAGAAAAAGGAAGGCGGCGAGAAGTTGGAGTCTCAGGTGAGCTCCTGCTGAGGGAATGGGTCGTGGGTTTTGGTGTCTGATAAGTTGAAGGGTGAGAAGCAGTCTCTAGGTTCAGGCAGGCCTCGGTCAGACACAGCAGTGAAGCAGCCATTTATTTAACGTTTGTGCACAAACGGGTGTCCTGGCAAGCAGGCACACACAGCAAAGGCAGAACTTTGATTCGTATTTCCTTTCCCATCCTCAAGTTCCCTCCCTTGTTACCCCATTGGTTGGGGACTCCAAGGTTTACAGTCTATCCGACATGTATAATCTACGTGCTAACTGTCCCGCCTCTGGTTACACCTCCCCTTACTCAGTTTCGTACACCCCTTCCTCTTACTTCTTTCTTTCTCTCCTTTTAGGGTTTGATTTCATAACTCTCTGGCAGGCACACGGTACCCCAACTTACTGCTTAACTACAGCAGCAGTTTGCACCGGCTTAGCTTCATAGGCTGTACAAAGATAGCGTTCTTTTGCACCACAGAGCGTGTCTGTTGCCCAAAGATGCCGTTGTCTTTAAGCACAGAGTGTGCCTGTTTAAGTCACGGTATTTCAAACCCTATGTTTTGTTCCCTGAGTAACTTAGCCCCAGCCCCAATATTGCAAAGTCTTAGTATTACAAAGCCTTAATATTGCAAAGCCTCATCACAGATATGCAAACCCAACAGTGCTTCTCTCTCATGCATGATTTTTCCCCGTAGGGAGCCTGCCATTTTCTTTTCACAGAATCATAGAATGGTTTGGGTTAGAAAGGACCTTAAGATCATCCACTTCCAATTCCCCTGCCGCAGGCTGGGACACCACACGCTAGGCCGTGTCATCCAAGACTCTGTCCAGCCTGGCCTTAAACACTGCCAGGCATGGAGCATCCCCAGCCTCTCTGGGCAACCTGTTCCAGGGCCTCCCCACCCTCACAGTAAATGCAGTTGTTTTCATCATTCAGAGAATCTTTTTGGTAAAAGATCAGCGCAGCTTACAGATGGCATCACTAATGGCACAGCTTCTAACTACCCGAGTTTGGATCATTAATTCTTTTATCCACCTTGGAGCAAGAGTAGTCCTAAAGCATTGCTGCCTGGTTCTTAGTTGTTCTCAACATGCGCCAAGTAACAGAAAAGATGAGAAGGAGAAGCTCTTGGGGTTTTATTTCTGGTGTTTAGGCAGTGCCAGTAGAGAGGAGACCGAGAGGTCTGGGAGCAGGCAGCTGTAAGCACACCTTCCTGGGATACCTGCCGAGCAGCTTGCTTTGCTTATCTCTGTTTCCCAGTGGTTTTAAATCCTGAATTGTGAGAGTTAAATGAATCCATTGATCTCAACAGAGCACTTCTGCATGGAAATAGCTGCTCAGGAAGGAAAGGTGTCGCATCGATGTTTCCTCTGGAAAATCGAAGTGCTTTATGAAACAGAATTGTAAAGACAGTTTGTTTTTCTCCCCTCTACTTCTCCCTTTTAAAAAGTAAGTATTAGGCACCCTTTATGCCCTTGTCACTGACAGGAAGCTGGAGGCTCTGCAGGAAGCAAGCCAGAAGCTAGTGTTTGGTAACAGCTCTCTGCTTCTTTCTTTTCCCATTTAGTTTACTAATGGGGAGAAAACGTGAGGATGCCTCTGTCCAAAGGGCATTCCGAAGGGAAGGAGCAGGAGATGGGGAGTGGAACAGAGGCCGAGCTAGGACTTCATATCCTCCCAAGTTTTTGTTACAGGGGAAACAGACTAAATGGTGTAAGAAGACCTGTTCCACCCACCGAGATTCTTCACATCAGGTTTTGGAGAGGCCAACTTCCTGAAGAGTTAAGACTAGGAGCAAAAGTTGTGTTGGGTGTTCCCCTCACTGCACCCCTTCTCTGCTCCCCTTTCACCCCCAGTTTGCCCTTGTGCCCTCTGAGATCAGTACAAAGCAGTGGGCAGGTGGGTTTGGGAGCCTCAGACCCACAGTGTCCGTGCACTGTGCGGTGTGTAGCCAGACGTGCGGCTCTGTTATCATCCACTCCCATTCCTTTTCCTGCGTTGTTACACTCCCATTCCTTCTTTCTCTTTGTTAATCAAGACTTCCCTTTGGTTGTTTTATACAATGTGATTTCCAGTTCCTATCCGCAAATGTCCCTCCATCTATATGATTGCTGGAGAATAGTACAGCTGCTGAGACTGCATTTTGGCACTTCCTGGCTATGTTGAGGAGTTTCTCACAAAAATATAAGCCAAAAGAGACATAACGCAACCTCCTGGGAAAGCAGGAGTGTTGGTGGCAGTAGGCCAGGAGGCCCCTCTGAACAAGTCCCTCCGGTCCCTGAAAGCGGAGGTGTGGGATGTGCTCATGATGCCTTCACTGCTGCCATTGTCAGGGTTTTCTGATGTCCTGAAAGTAAGCGCTGTGAAAGGCTAACCCAGGACTATGGTTTTCCTGAGTCTCTAAGGCTTTAGTCTGAGAAGTTTTCCTTGGAAAGTGATCACAGTCTCTGTGTTTTGAGTCTTGTACTTGGAGGAAGCATTGGCAGCAGTGTCACTGAGGAGTAGTCATGAGCACTGTCAAGAAGCTGTTGAAGAGCAATGACATTTCAGTCCAAAAGTGTACTCTGTGGATTTGAAGAAATCACAGCGAATGTTAGTGAAACTGGTTTTGCCAGGATGTGTGGTTTGTTACCAGTGCACCGTAGAACGGACCTTGGTGAAAACAATTTAACCTTGTAAAATGTGGGGCAGTTGAGCTAACCCCAGTTTTAAAGGGAACTTGAATGTGCAGTGAAATTCCAGAAACTGTCAAGTGTGAGGATCTGGGGTGCAAACTCCTCAGACTGTCCCTTCTTTACATCACAGGAGGTTTGTCAGGGGTAGGAGCAGATGCTATTATTATCGTTCTGTTTCCTGGCCAGCTGCTTTAAGTTTTCAGCCGTAAAAAGCTTGTGGTTGATTTTGGTGCCTCCTTCTGACCAGCCAGAAACAGGC